GAAACGAGATAAGTGCTCAAATCGTACTGCGTAATCATGCACCATCATATTACCCTGTCTCAGATTCAGGAACTCAGTCTCCTTCTAAAATCTAATACTGTCAGGGAAGTATTTCTCCATAAATCTCACACGGAAGGTTTCCCAATTACACACCTCCCCACATGCAATCATCATCCTTTGAGTCCCTAACCACCAGAACTCAGCCTCATCCACTAGTAAGTATTTCCCGAATGTCAATTTCCTGTCTTCCCGGCATAAGATAGCCTAAAAAATTTTCTCCACTTCACGCAACCACTTCTCTGCTGCATCTGGACCCAAATCTCCTCCAAAATGAGGCAGATTATGCCTCATGAACTCAGTCAGTCCCATCTGCTCTGATTGGTGGAATCCAGCAGAGGATGATGCCATAGTTGGCCTCCACTGCGGGTAGGTAGCCTACTGCTGCATGGCAACTGCCAACATTTCCATTGCTCTGGCTAGGGCATCTACACTCGGTGGAGTAGGAGGTCGCGGTGCCATCCTATATCAAACACAATCATCAATATAGAGCAAACATTGACACACACTCACATATCAGAGTATAATCACAACAGACTTATCATAGGTTCACTACCCATCCCCACAGATTTACAAGGATACTACCGCTCTGATACCACTCTTGTAATGACCCTAGAAATTTCTACTATAATGATGCCTTCGCAAAATAGTAAACAAGTAAATAACGACATTCATCTTACATTATATTACTATAATTGTAACATAGACTGAAATTTCGGTTCATTAACGGAACCTCAAAACATAGTAACATAATTTATTTATATATTATACATGTAAACGTAGCTCCCACAAAGCTATCCCACTGAACTATCCCTGTTGTCCAGTAGTCACATCTCCACCTCTCAACTCCTGATCTGCTCCAACATAAAAGTGATCATCGCAGTCCTATCCACATGGGAAAATAGGGGTAAGTATTAAATCATTCAATATAATAAAACAGATATAGAAGTAATAATTATATATTATGATCAATTATAAAATCATCAACACACTAAGACACCTTCCGAAAGTATACCCTAACTATGCCCGAACTCAGAGGGTATCATCTGTGGGTACATTGTGATCGACACTCGCAGTATCATTTTGACCACCCTCCACATAGAGTAGGATTACTGGCGCCCTTCATCACTCATACTGGAGTACCCCTCCGAGCGCACCACCAGCCATCCCCCCATCGACTTCTCACTACCTGATCTCATAGTTTACCTGACCCGATCAATTAGTGAAGCCTGGGACCTCATTCAGAATCCTCCGACATAGTTATTACACTAATGTACTTTGTACCACCCCGTGTACCATTCAAACACAACAAAAATCATTCACATTTACCGGATTCTGGACCACCTGTCCTCACGGCTCATTCAAGTCAATAAATAATAGTACTTGACTGATTCTGGGCACCAACCCTCCGACTCAGTCTAGCCAATACATAACATCTTATGACTGATTATGGGCATCAACCCTTAGACTCAGTCTGACCTACACACGTCACAACACACTACTGAATATTTAAAACTGCTTCCTTCATTCTATACTATATATATATATATATATATATATATATATATATATATATATATATATAATTTTTTTTTTTTTTTCAAAATCATTTCCAAAATTATTTTCAAAATCATTTCCGAAATCATTTCCAAAATCTTTTGCAAAATCATTAAATTACTATTTTGCCCTTAATCTTTTCTCGAAAATTTCATGTCCTTAAATGACTATTTTACCCTTGGACATTTTTGAAAATTCCTTCCATGTCCCGAGAATGACCATTTTACCCTTGAACATTTTCAAAAATTCCTTCCATGTCCCGAAAATGACTATTTTACCCTTGAATATTTTCGAAAATTCCTTCAATGTCCCTTTCTTCTTCCTCGCACTCGATAATGAGTATCAAATTTTGCATAGATTTCAAATTACTCAGTTTTAGACAACTAAACTAGTTCCTAATTCAAATTAAACATGAATTATATCTAATTTAAGTTGAAAACAACAATTTTATCATATAATTCATCCTTAATTTTAAGAATTTCAAAAAAAAAAACTTTCAAACGGTGAACAGCTTCATCGAATAAGAAATTCTTCAAAATTAGACATTCAAATAATTCATATCTCTACTCCTATTTCTTATCCACAGAGTACCCAACAATTCAATTTCATATATTGAATGAATTAAACTTCCCTTACCTAATGTGGTATTTCTACAAAAACTTTCTCACTTAATTCAAACTCTCTCCCGTTTCACCAGATCCTGCATGACTAAAGTATCGTTGCTTGAAATTTAGACAAAAGAATAAGAAGGATATGAGGGAAATTTAGATTCTGCCACCTCCTCCGTTTCTGTATGTATATATATAAAAAAATTTTTACATGAGAAAAACTTCGTTACGAAGTTTTCTTGCACAGTAATATTATTATAATAAAAAAAACATAAGTCACGTTTAGTCTCATCTAAATTAACTATGATGTAGTTGTTTATAAAAAATATGTTTTTATTAATCACGCTGAATTGATAAATATGTTATTAGTGAAACTTATGCTCTTATGCATGATGCCAACCTAATTAACATAAAATATAATTTTTACTTAACATGAGATGTATATTCAAATTTAGATTTTATAGGTGTTTTTGGAGATAAATAATAATAATAATAAATATACGCTCAACTTTCACAGGAAATAAGACCACCTTAAATTCAATAAAAAAATTGTGTTAATGAACAAGTATTGTTCCTCTTATTTCATATTTTATCTTTCTAAATGTGATTTGCCCACTGCAATCTGGACCATGAAAAGTGGACGATTTTCCGAAGTGCTAAATGCAGACACAAGATCTGGAATTAAGTCAGAGAAGAATTCCTATTAGCTGGTCCTTGGTGCCTCACTTAAAATATAGACTTAATTAATCTCTAATCCTTCAAAGATCAAATAAAACAAGTTACGCGTATTTCAGATGGAGAATATATTATGCTGGCATTACATGGAAAAATAATTTTGATTAGATTGAAACGATGAAGCTTCTTTGCAAGAGAGAGAATGAGAATTTCATATGTTCTATGATTAGTTTTGGACACTAATTCCACATGATTAATGAGTGTGAAAAAACTAATCTAACAAGTACTCGCTTTTAACGCTGAAACTTTGGGTTATTAGGTCAACGTATTATTGCTATGGCTGCCCTACAAAATGTTAGGTAACAACTGTTGATTCTGACCTAGCTGCCTCTGTTTGACAAATTTCCATTTTAATAACTCCATTAACATTCTCACCATTACATATAAAACATCAGGTCCATAATTTTGCCTACCATAATAATATATTTTCATCTCAAGATAACATGGTTAAAGATTAATTCTCAAATTAATTTTGTCCTTAAAATAGATTAAAAAAAGAAAAATATATATAAATTATTCTTATCTTCTATTCAATTATGTGAAACACGTAAACACAGGGACAATATCAAATATTATTAAAATTGGATAATAATAAACAAAATGATCAACTTATATTTCAGAAAATAAACACTACGTGATTATGATTTATCTAAGCCAGGAATCAAATATTAAGTTGATGTTTTTTTCTTGAACAATCCCACTTCAGTCATATATAATTTTGGAGTTTTAGGAAATAAATTTATCAAAATATCTAAATTTTAATAAAAACTTAATTTAATTTAATTACTTCAATATAAAAACAATTTTATGTATAGTGAATAACAGCAAGTGTAGGTACCATAATCTCCTTATTCACCAATTTAGTATGTGTAAGAAAAATCCCTATTATTTATTCACAGAGAATACTCATTTGTAAGAATTTTATTAAATATTCACTGTGAATTTTATCAACGAATAGTCCTGTTCGGTGTTATTTTTGTTAAATGTGCAATTTAAAAAAAATAATATTTTTTTATTGTTTTTAAATGTAAGGTTATTTATTAATAAAAAATTTAGAGAGTTTATTTTAATATTATTTTTTTATAAGTTAATAATATAAAATAATAACTCATATTCATTATTAGATTAAAAAAATAACGAGAGAATAATTCTTAAATAAATCTATTTTTTCTTTTTATTAATTATATTTTTAATATATATATATATATAACAATTTTTTTTATTAAATAGAAAAAAAATAAAAATATCATAATTTAAATAAAAATAATTATTAAAATTTATATATTTAAAAATAATAAAGATATGAAAAGAAAAATATCATATATAATTAGTAAGAGAAAAAAATTTATTATATAAACACACGTTTACTTGTTTCATTAATATATATATATATATATATATATATATATATATATATAATATCAATAAAACATACTAATAGTAATATAGTTATTAAAATTATACATAATAGCTTAAAAAAATTAGAAGAAGAAAAATAGATGAAAAGTCGTACCTGTTAATTTGGTTTTGACCTGTAACGGTTTCTCCCAGTCATAACTCCTGATCTGCTGAATGCGGGAAAAATATTGAAACTATTTACAAAAAGGAAAAGAAACTATTAATCTTTCTTTAGTAAAACCTACAAAGTTGTTCATTCCAAGAAGATGAAAGCAATTGTTCAAATCACACACCATCTTTCTCCAACTTCAACAAACTATTCATTTTCCCATGGGACCCAACCCATCTCTCAAAATCCACATCCTATACAGTATTTACACCCCTTACCATAACACTCTTGGTAGCACCACACAACACTACACAACAAAACGTTGTTCACATAACTTCACTTTCAAGGCCAATCCTCTTTAACTTCCATTTTTCTCACGGACACAATTTCCTCCTACCCTTTAAGTATAACACCAAAAACCCACACCCTTTGCGCATTCTTCTTCTCTTTCTCTCTCTGAAGCAAGTGCAGAGCAATAACTCTAGTTTCGGGTCACCCGTGACCGTGATGATCATAAAGATTTTGTCTTTTAAGTGATGGGTTCGTGTTCTTCGGTCCCCAGAAACGCTAACGCAGACATGAAGTTCAAACTCTCGTTCTGTTCCAAATCTGAGAAGCTTGTGATTCCTCCATCACCCATCAAGGGACAACCCCAAAATGGAGACTTTAAGTGGTCAACGACTACCATCACGGACCAAGGTACGGTCCTTGTTTCTTCAGAATTTGTGTTCATAGGTTGTTTTTCTCTGCTTTGTGTGACTTGTGTCCCAGGTTTTAAATCACGGTTTCGTTATTATTCTTGATACTGTAAGATTGCCGGCAAACGAGACACAATTGTGGTTACAGTGATTTAAAAAAAAAAAAAAAAACTTGATACTGTGGTCAAAATTGCTGTTGAAGACTTTTTTTTAAACTTTCTCGTGACCTCATATAAAGATGCTGTTACTATTAATATGCGAATGTTTCTGGGTATTTCGTTTGAATGTTTGATCCGAAGAATTATTAATTACTTAGTCTGAGTTTGAAAAAAAGATGAAATTTTATTTTTTTCTTTTGAAAAAGTTATCTGATGTTAGTCAGTGTTGTTGATGTTTCGCTTTTATTGAAGCCGGGTTCTGTTTGAGTTCTTCTGCCCTCTCGTTTTTGGTGATCTGGTGTGCAGCTTTCTTTGTGATTTTTGGTCCGATTGATTTATAAATTTAATTTAATTTCTGTTGTACTTAGCTATGATTAGGTTATAATACCCAAGTGGAAAATTATTGATCCTCTTTAGTCGGTTGCATCTCCAATAGGAGGAAGACACGTAGAAAAAAAGGGCCCCATCCATCTTTGTGAATGGCAATCATGCTGTGGATATCTCTCACTGATTCATGATTTTTGTTTTTATTGTGTATATGAATAATAACATGAATATGAAGATTTCCAGATAAAATAAAACATATGAAGAATTTCTTTTGTTCCTATTTCAGATATATACGGTCTATTCAATGTCTATCTTTATATAAACATGTACTCACTGATACAATATTGTTTATATGTTATGATGGACATTGAAAAGGATTGAAAAGACTATAACCTGATAAATTTTTGACCTGTGCTGATACCATAACATAATTGGGAAAAATCATCAATTGTTTTCTTGTTTGTTTTTGATCGAGGCATCCTTGTCTAGAATTCTTTCTTCTCCTTGATTGACGACTATTTTTGGTGTACATGAATTTTCTGTTAGTTTTATTTTTATTTTATGAGATAAAGGAATCAATTAATGAATAATGTGCTTGAAGTATGGGAAAATAAAGCCACCATTGTCCTTTGAGATCTTGGATTGATCTCACTGTGCTGCACGTGAAAGTATTGTTTGGCTACAGTCAAGCATTGTAATCTGTCTTTTTCTGATCTTTTGCAACATTTATTTCTCCTTAACTACATACCCTGTTGCTTTCTGTTGAACTGGATCTATGTGCTTGATTGATCCTGTCATAATGCACATAAATGATTCATGCACACCAAATTGCTTCAAGTGCTTGATTGTACAATGCTAGTTTCTAAGTGTGGTGACTTAGATCCTAGATTATGTGACATGAACGGTATTCACGTTGATAGCTTTCTCCACAAAGTTCAACCAACCTTAACTGCTCCAATTGACCTAACAGCCAGTAGTTGGACACCATTTATGTAAACCCCAAAATTAAAGAATTGAAGTACTACATTCTTACGAATTAAGAATCAATTAAGTGTTTGGGGGAGTTTGTTTCTTTCCCCAACCTTCCACTTATAACATTTCAAACCCAAGAATCAATCTTGTCAGCACAATTGGTTGGATTATCTGTTTCTTGGTATTATTTCATTTGTTGAAATACTTTCTTAGATAGGTTTCTTATACCCATGTTCCCCATTCACAAGACATTATTTTCCTGTACAGGTAGCAAAGAGGAAGCATTTTTTGATTCGAAAACCTGGTTAGACTCAGATTGTGAAGATGATTTTTATAGTGTCAATGGTGGTAAGGATTCCCTGTAACTTTTGGCCATTTTGTTATGTTTAATTATGATATGAATGATGAGGTTGAGGTGAGACTTTTGTGGGTAATAATAGTAGAGAAAAATAAATCCTCTGTGCAAATTCTTAAACTTTTTTTATATCTGATTTGTTATATATGATAAGTTGTTGATTTTTATAAAACTCCTTTAAAAATCATACATAATATGATTTCTGATTGGTTGATAAAATTGCATAAGAGTTAATGTCATCGTAATGTATGATGGTAAACATTATAGTCATGATTTGTAACATGACATTTAGTTTGTAATAGACTTTTATCATGATAATAAGCCTTTTTGTAATGCAAGTTGATGAAGAAGGAAGAACTCATTGGTCATGACAAATTTTTGTATATACAGTTTTACTATTTTCTCTGTAGTTTCTCTTTCACTGATTTTCATTACTCTTCAACCACCTTCAGCTGTATTGTCTATTTCATTTTATGCAGACTTTACACCATCTCGAGGGACCACACCAGTTCACCACACTTTTGGGATCCCTTCTAGGAGTAGAATTCCTGGTTCTATTTCAATGGCTGAACCATCCCCAGAGAAGAAAAAGAAACTGTTGGAACTTTTTCGTGAAAGTGTGAAAGATGACCAAGGTGATGGCCATGGACACAAAGAAGTCAAACCAACTATACAAGATGTTATGCCTAAATCTGCACATTCCACTCCTTATATCTCAGGGGCTAACTCTACATGTAGTAGTGAAAGAACCATGAGTGAGGATCGTGCATCCATTAGAGAGAAATCGGTTAAGTCTTTGCATTGGTGCATTCCAAGCTTGTCCTCATGCAGAAGCTTTAGGGAGAGAAGTAGGAAGACAAGTCCTGCAGTAGAAGTAAATGGAAAACATTAGACTTCTCTTGCAAAATGATGATCCAAAGTTTCTCTTATGAGTTTAATTTATACTCATTATGTTAATGTAAAACAATTTTACACATATATCCAATAAGATTTTATCATTTGATCTCCTTTTTTATTCCTTAATTCAATATCATAATATGATAAATTGTTATTGGATGTTTGTGTAAAACTTTAAGCTTAAAAATTGAACTCTTCTTTGATATCCCAGAATGTAAAGTAGTTGAATTAAATATTGGTTATGTTCATCAGTCTAAACACAAACAGAAAAGCATGTAAAATCTGTATAATGAGTTTTTTTTTTTTTTTTCTTGCATATAATCCAACATCTACGATAACTGTTTCTTCATGATTTTTTATTTTTTTTAGGTGGATAGTATTGCTATATTTACTTAATATTTTTTTATATTCTTTTTTAATTGGGTTGTTAAATAATAGCATATAGGTGGTGTGTATACAGTCTGCCAAGAATGGAATACTTTTTATTCTTGTTTGGTTTCACTGATTAGGCAATATCTAAATAATTTTTTTTCTGTTGTTTGTTTCAGTTTTTCATGTTTTATTTTTTTAATAATGTATTTATTTTGCTTTGATTTCGAAATTCTAATTTAAATTATTTTATTTTAAATATCACTCAAGGTGTTATCTAAATAAATTAAAAATATTTAGTGATAAAAAAAAATCAGTGACATATTTAAAACCACTATTGAAAAGGAATGTTTCTAACAATTTATTTGATATATATATATATATATATATATATATATATATATATATATATATATATTCCATGAGAATAGTAATTTTTTTCCTTAATCATAATTTGTTTTTATTTGATTTTAAAAATTAAATTTTTACATAGTTATGAAATAAATATCAAAATAGATTTTAGTCTAATGGAAGAGTTTGAAAGACCTTAAAAAAAAGATAGAAAAATTATGATTTAAATTAAATTTATTTTATTTTGATTCATTTAAAACATGATCTAAATAGAATTAGATCATTAGTGGGTAGGTTTATGGGTTCACCTGTTTTATAAAATAATAATTATTATTTAATTATATATATATATATTATAAATTAATTTAATAAAAGATTCCCTTATTTTAAAAATAAATATTAAAATAAATCTTTATTAATAATTTATTTCATTATTTAATAGTTAAGATTAATTAATATTTTAAATTAATAAATTATTAAAAAATAAATTATAATAAAGAAAAGTTTTTAACTCTTATTTTGATATTAGATAAATTTATTATCTTATAATTTATATATTAAATCATTATATTTTAAATAAAAATATTTTTATTAATATAATTTAAATTTAAAAATATATTTTTAATTTTTATTTAATTTTTTTAATTAATTATTTTGATATAGATACATTAATATATATTTTTTTTAATTTTCAATCTGTTAACTTGGTTTAATGTAAGACAAGTTAAACTAAATTTAAAATATAAACCAAGATCATAAATTTTTTCTACAGTAAGATTAGGTTAGAGTGAGTTTAAGTAAACCGTTTTATAACTCTAGTCATGAATAATTTTATTGAACTTTATATATTAAAAATTAAACAAAATTAATTTTTCTTAAATAGATAATACAAAAGCAATTATATATATATATATATATATATATATATATAATTGTGTTTTTAAATCTAATTTTGGTGAAATAATAATTTTAATCATAAGTCTAAACATTTTTTTTCTAAAGAATCCAATCATATCTTTCGAAGACTAACAAGTTGTCGTTGGATCAAGTAAAATTAATTCAACTTGATATTTCATTTTCAAGTTTTTAACCTAAACTGTTTTATTGATCCTTAATTTTTATTTTAATATTTCTCACGTTCTCTAACTTTTATGAATTCTCAACCAATTTCCGAAATCCATTTAAATCAATTACTTTACCATTCAACCAGTTATTAAATAAATAGATACATGGGCAAAGTTTAAAAAGCTTAATTTTAATCAGATATAACCAAATTTAATAAAATCATGTTTTTATAATATAATAAATATATAAATTTATTGATAATAATATTTTAAAAAAATAATAAAATTTATTATTATGATCAATAAATTGGAACAAAAATTATATATATACAATAATTAAAGAATATAAGACAGATAATAATAAAAATAAAATAAAAATATAATAAAATAATTATTATTTAATGTTACCTAATTAATGTAAGATAAAAAAATTAAAATATATTATATCTTTTATAAAAATATATTAAAAAAATTTAATCTTTAAATTGATTTTTATCAGGTCCAAAATTTCAACAAATTTTCTTGTATATTTAATCCCGATTGTAATCAAAATTTAATTATTTAGATTATAGATTAATTCTTGATTAAACCAATTTAACCGTGGATTTAATTTTCAAAATAGTGATTTACCGAATTTATAATATTATAATTTTTATTGTTTTACATTAAATAAAATATAAACCATTTAATTAATAATTTCAGAACTATATAAGATTTCTGAACTTGAATATAATATGAAATTCTTCATTTCAAGCGACTTTATTATGGTTCAATTTGAATTTGCTATAAGAAACAAATAATAAAGAAAAAGAAAAGTAAATTGTTGAATAATTCTGAATTCCGTTTCTTAGTTGGGTTCATTGGATTCCTTGCTCGATATTCATGAAGTTTGACCTCTGATTTCTGGAGTTTTCGTATGTGAAAGTACAGAACTTTAAACACTGAGCCGCTAGGTCAAATCTAAGGTGGTTCCATCCATCCATTGGTGGATCATTCATTCTTCACTGTTTTGATATAATACGATCGAAAAAATACGTTATTGATTTTTTTTTAATTTTTTTTATCCTTATATTTTAAATTGATTCAGTCTTTTCATTTTTAAAAATTACATGATTTTAATCCTTCTTTATATATAAAATTAATATTTAGTAATATTATAAATAGACCAAATTTATATACTATATAATTTTAATATTTTTCATATTTAAATGTAGTATTTAGTAACGTATATTTTCCGTCACAAAATTGATAAAAAAGACTAAATTCATATATTTGAAAATTAATAAATTATTTTTAAAATATAAAGATAAAAATCAAATTTAATAAAAAATATATTAAACTCAAATAAATTATGAAATTAGTAATTACTTGGTACTGATTAAATATATATATATATATATATATATATATATATATATATAATTATTTACCTTTTAATCCATGTGAACATTAATTATATTTATTAGTTCATTTTATTAGAAAGTTTAATGATATTTTTGGTGTGACTTTCTCAATTGCGTCTCTTGAATAGGCATGGTAACTGGGCGGGCGGGTTTTGCCTTCTCGATTTCCACCCCGACTTTTTTAACCATCCTCGTTCCCGTCCCGATCCCCGCCAGGGTTAGAAATTAAGTCCCCATCCCCATCTTCGCTAGGTTTCGGGTTCTCTGTCCCCGATCTATATTATTTTTAAAAAGATAATTACATTTATAATAAATTAATTTTACTATCTATTTTTATATATAAATAAATATTTATAATTTATAATTATTATTAATTAAATATACATTTTAATTTATTATATTTATATTAAAATATGGATGTAAAAGAAATATTTAATTATTTTTTATTTATAACATTATTATTATTATAACACATATTCAAATATTTGAATATTTATAACATTATTATTATAATGCTGTATTCAAATATTTGATTATATATATAAGTTAATTATTTTTAAGTTGTCATTTAAAAATATGAAATATATACTTTATAAGGAAATATTTAATAAGTTAATTCTTATTCAATTAATTCAAAGTAATAAAAGTTTAAATGATCAATTCCTTTAATCCTTTAAAATACAATTATTTTATTAAGATAAAATTTGATATATGACAAATAAGAATAATAAGATAAAAAAATATGACATAATAAAACCTAATAAATATTATAAATAAAATAATATTAGTTACTACTAAGATTTATGTAAAATATTTAGAAAAAGACAAAGAATAAACAAAATTAACTTTGTGTTCATCAAATTGGTTGAAAAGATTGAAAAAAAAAACAAATTGATGGGAGAGATTAAGGAAATGTGAAAAACTGAAAGGTAAGAGAAAGAATAATATAATAAATTAATTGATATAAAAGATTAAAAAAGATAAAAAAATTAAAAAGTGGGTAGAAAAAAACTGGTAAAATATAAAAAATGACCTTATATATAATAGAAAAAGAAAAGAAAATACTTTTAAAATATTAATATTTTAAAATTTAAATTTAAATATAAAATCGGGAGGGGACAAGGTCGGGGTGGGAATTGCATTACCCATCCCCACCCCGTCCCCGACTTTTTAAGCGGAAAACCCGAACCCACCCCCGCCCGTCCCGGTCAACTCGGGTTTTCCCGTCAAACTCGGGCGGGGACGGATCGGTCCCCACGTGCAGGGTTTAATTGTCATCCTCGCTCTTGAATCATATTTTTTTTTTTTTATTTATTATGAATATGACTTGTGAATAGTCTTAAAACTAGGTAAAGGAAAGAAAATAAATACCAAAACTAGAACTTGTTGATTAAATCAAAGTAATTAATAAAGCATAATCCAAATTATGATTTTTGGATAGAAGCAACATTATAAAGTTCCTAACCAAAGAATAAAAGGAAAACTTTTACAATGAAAATTGATCTATTATAATTCATCAATGTTTAATCTATATTTTATCTTAATTTCTGCATATTTAAAATATTTTTATCCGATTAAGCGACTTTCGATCATAATACAAATTGTTGGAAATCTTCAGTATTATTATTTGGTGATGTCACTGCCTAAGCAATCTTCTTAATATTTTTTTCAATGTGATAATATATATATATATATATATATATATATATATATATATATATATATATATATATATATATATATATATATATAAATTGTAAATCCTACTTGATAATTGCAACTCATTGAGCATATTTTGTATGCTTTCA